CAGATGAGGATATTCCCAAGACTACATTTAGAACAAGGTATGGACATTATGAGTTCACAGTAATGCCATTTTGGATTAACGAATGCTCCAGCAATTTTTATGGACTTGATGAATAGGGTGTTTCATCCATTTATGGACAAGTTTGTGGTAGTGTTCATAGATGATATACTGGTGTACTCTGAAGAGTAAAGAGGAACATGTAGAACATTTAAGGGAAATTCTGCAAACAATAAGGGAAAACATGCTTTATGCAAAGTTCTCTAAGTGTGAATTTTGGTTAGAGAAAGTGGCGTTTTTGGGACATTTTGTGTCCAAAGATGAGGTAAAAGTAGATCCAGCAAAGATTGAGGTAGTGAAAGGTTGGCCTACGCCAAAAACAGTGTCTGACGTTAGGAGTTTCTTAGGTTTAGCAGGGTATTATAGACGTTTTGTGAAAGATTTCTCGAAGATTGCTAAACCAATGACCTCTCTAATGAAAAAGGACAAGAAGTTTGAACGGGATGATAAGTGTGAGGAAGCACTCCAACTCTTGAAACAAAAGCTGATCACAGCCCCAGTACTTACAATACCAGTCGATAGTGGAGTTTATGATGTATATAGTGACGCATCCAAGAATGGTTTGGGTTGTGTACTTATGCAAAATGGGAAGGTGATTGCATATGCATCAAGACAGTTAAAGACTCATGAAGTAAATTACCCTACTCATGACTTAGAATTAACTGCAATTATTTTTGCGCTAAAGATTTGGAGACACTACTTGTATTGGGTGAAATGTAGGATTTATACAGACCATAAGAGTTTGAAATACATTTTCACTCAAAGGGATTTAAACTCACGCCAAAGGAGATGGTTGGAATATACGACGGATTATGGCTTAGACATACAATATCATGATGGGAAATCAAAAGTAGTCGTAGATGCTCTAAGTTGTAAAACCAGTCATGGCCTGAACACTTTGATAGTGGTTGATGAGTTATGTAGAGGAATGAGGAGAATGAATCTAGAGGTGGTAGAATGGGGAGTGCCAGCAGGCATACTTGCAAATCTGAGTATTCAACCGACAATATTTGATGAGATAAGGGAAAATAAAAAAGGAGATGTAACGTTGAATAGGATTCGTGAGAAAATAAGGCAAGGAAAAGCTGCGGATTTCAAGATTCTTGAAGATGGGAGTTTAAGGTACAAAGGTCGTTGGTGTGTACCACAAAAATGTGAGGAGGTGAAGTGAAAGTTGATGGAAGAGGGTCACAATACACCATACTCAGTACACCCAGGAGGGGACAAGTTATATAAAGACTTGAAAAAGGTGTATTGGTGGCCCAGAATGAAGAATGAAGTCGCGAAATTTGTGTCAAAGTGTCTAATTTGTCAAAAAGTGAAGATAGAGCACAAAAGACCGCAAGGAACTGTGCAATCATTTGAAATTCTTTGATGGAAATGGGATTGTATTTCAATGGACTTTGTGACTTCCCTCCCAAAGTCAAAGAGTGGAAATGACACCATTTGGGTAGTGGTGGATAGACTCACAAAATTTGGAATGTTTATACCAATGAAGAAGACCTGGAAGATGGAACAACTTGCAAAAGCTTACATAAAAAATGTGGTGAGATTACATGGAGTTCCAAAGGATATTGTGTCTAACAGAGATTATAGGTTTCTTTTAAGGTTCTGGAAGAGTGTGCAGGAAAACTTTGGTACAACACTTAAGATGAGTACAACTTTTCACCCTGCCACAAATGGGCAAACTAAGAGAATCATTCAAACCTTGGAAGACATGTTGAGGGCTTGTGTTATAGATTTCCAAGGGGGATGGGAAGATATCTAGGACTTAATTAATTGAATTTTCCTATAATAATAGCTACCATGCAAGTATTGGCATGGCTCCATTTGAGGCATTATATGGAAGGAAGTGTCGCAGTCCAATCTGTTGGAACGACATAAGTGAAACAATGATTCTAGGGCCTCAAATGATCGAGGATACAGTTAAGAAGGTGAGGGAGATTCAAGCGGCGCAAGATCGCCAAAAGAGCTACGCGGACTTGAAGCGTAGAGAGGAGGAATTTGAGGTCGGTGACAAAGTATTGTTAAAGGTGTCACCAATGAAAGGTGTAATGAGATTTGGAAGAAAGGAAAGCTTAGCCCAATATATATTGGTCCATATGAGATATTGCAAAGGATAGGCAAAGTGGCTTATAGATTGGCCTTACCTATGGAACTAAGTAAAGTACATGATGTATTCCATGTATCTCAGTTAAGAAGGTATATCCCTAATAAGTCACATGTGCTACAACCAGAAACTATTGAGTTAGATCAAAGCTTAACTTATGAGGAAAGACCTGTCAAGATCCTTGACAGTAAAGTGCGTAGTACACGCAATAAGGAAGTTAAGATTGTCAAAGTGCTATGGTCTAACCAAGAGTATGAGGAAGCAACTTGGGAAGCCGAGGATGAGATGAAGAAGAAATATCCTGAGTTGTTTAAGGTATGATGAGTTACGGGGACGTAACTCGTGTTCCTTTAAGGGGGGTAGAATGCGGTAGAATTTCGCGTTTTTCCCGTATTCTTCAGTTATTTTTGTGCTTTTTGCACATTTTTAACGGTTATTTTGAGTAATTTTGATTTCAAAGAGATGTTAAAGGCAAAAGTACGACAAAAGAGTACAGTAGTATATACAAAGTGAGGAATAAACTGTGAATTTCGTTACCCAAGTTTCGGGACGAAACTTCTTTTAAGGAGGGTAGACTCTAATACCCCGTATTTTTATACGTATTTTGATTTAAAAAGAATTATTTTAATTAAAAGTTTATTTTTAACTATTTAATAATCTTGAAAATATTTTATTTAATGATTTAAAAATATTGGGGCATATTATTTTATTAAAAGATAAATTTTAAAGTCAATAATATTTATGGAAAGTCAAAATACAAGTTTGACTAGGAAAGGGATCATTATGGGTAGTAAAGGGATTTTAAGTAGGAGGGATTGAGAGGGGGTATAAACTCCCATCATATGCCTAAGGTGGAGTGCACCCAAAGGTAAACTATCTCTCTCCTCTTATTTTCTGTTCTCCTTAACTTTTTCCCTTCCCCTTAATTTTAATTTATTTTATTTATTGTAATCACCACCCACACACCACCACACGTCGCCAGCCACCACCACACGCTGCCGGACCACTGCCGTAGCCACCAGCAGGTGCCGGTGACAGCAGCGGCACCACCAGTAGGCGCGGCAGCAGCCGGCTGTGGTGTCGATGTTGCAGTTTTCCAAAAAAAAAAAAATACGTTTTTTGATTTTTTTAAATTAAACCTACCCTAATTTAATTATTGTTTTTGAGTTTTGTGATGATTTTAGGATGTTAAATAATAAGTATTTTTGTATATTAATTTTCAGATTTAATCCTAAATTAAAAATCCCCAAATTGAAAACCCTAGGTTTCTAAATTAATGTATATTGTTGGAATTTGATTGTAGGTGATTTAAATTATTGAAATAGGTGTTTTAAAACATAATTACAACAATATGTTATAATAATGCTGGAATTTTTTTCATATAAGCTATAATTAAGTTTCTTGAAAGGATTTTTAATTACCCATTAATTGGGAATAAAAGTAAGGGTTTTAAATTAAGTTTCAGATTATTTTAGAGGGTTTATGAGTGATTTAAAGAGAGTATATATTGCTGGAAATTTGTGTGAAAGAGGTATTAATACTCCTTTGTAATTTTGGTTTGTAGGAGATTTCCAAGTGAGTGATTTTATTTAGTCGTGGCGATTTTGAGATCATATTCAAGGTACGTTCGCGTACTTGGTAATGTTTAAGTGTATAGAAGCATGCTAGGCTTTGTTTAATTATTCCAAGTAGTATCATGATAGGTGCTGATTGGAATTTGTTGGTTGGATTGGTGTTGGCGAATAATTTGTGATGTGTGAATTAATTGTAGTGAATTGTTGATTGTAATTAATTATATTGGCATGTTGGATATGAACCACACTTTTATTATGGCATGTTAGAAAGCATGTTTAATTGAACTAAGTGTTTGATTTGGTTTGGAATATTAAAAAGGAATTTTATTATGGTTCATATACTTTTTATTGATGCTATAAGCATGACGAAGGAGCTATTTAAGTGTCTATGTACACGAGGATTAAATTATATTTTGGTGCCCAAGTGCGCTTAAGGTGTTTCTAACACCAAGGGATAGGATTTGTGGCGCATTATGCGTTTAAGGTGTCTTTGACACCGAGGTAGATTAAAAAGGGTTCAACTATAAATTTATGTGGTCACTAATTATTCAAGAATTTAAATTGGTATGTTTGAATGCTTGAATAAATTATAGTGTTTGATTTGTGGTTGTGTTTGAGAATCATCACCAAGTCTAATAATTTGTAAATAACGTAAAGTGAAAAAGATTACGCACCTAAACTCTTGGAACGTATATACCTTGAGTATGAACATATGGGGGGAGTTATGCGACTTTATATTTGACCATAACTTCTACTGGAGTACAGGACGCTGTATTTTCCTTTTTATTATGCGCAGGAATTTCGCCACTTACGAGTGGTTCTTTTATACTTTCACGATTAGCTCCCGTGTTAGTACCCCTTTATTGGGGCAGGTTAGGGGGAAACCCGTTCGATGCGTAATCAAGCTAAATAATTGGACTAGTTATTGTCTAGTTAAGTGTTGAGTTTCTTGTGTGCTTGTAAACAAGTGCAACACGGTAAGTTGGGTGATGATAGGATGAAAGCATGTTAGTGTGTTTTTATTACACTTATGTACTCAGCTTTGCTGATTGTGTGTTTGTATGTTTGTTTGGCCTTGTCTTTGCTTTGGCCCTACGACGACCCATTTCTAATGGCGAGTAGTGGGGACAGGTAGAGAGAAGCTTTCCAGGTGATGAAGCATATTCATGAAGGGCATGAGTGAAGAGCGAATCTTGCTTAGTTCTCATAGGAATGTGATGTGTTTTATTTGCTTTAAATATTATTTAATTATATTGATTATGAGACTAACGCAAAGGTTTTCAATATGGTTTGGTTTTAAGGGCCTACGATGGTTCCAAGTTGTAGATTGACTTTGCTTGACTTTACTTCCGTTTGGTTTGACCTTTTTTTTAGTTGACTTGTATTAAATGATTTTAAAGTTAGTCTTTCGCTATGTGAGTCTTTGATAATTGCCTTAGCCGTTTTCACGTGGCGGTAATGTCTTAGATTTTCCTTCTTCGTATTTTAATATGGCAAAATTTGGTATTTTAAGGAAAGGAATTTTAGGGTGTTACAAATTTAATTTAATTATGTTCTTTTCTGAATTGATTCCTCATAAGTTTGTCGAGAATCCAAGTAATTGTGGGCGAAAGAGATGCAGAAATCTAGGGCAATACCAGTTATAATCGAAGGAATAGTGTTTGATATTCAAGCTACTGCTGCTATTCCGTTACTGCCAAAACCACCACTTCTAACAAGGTTATTAATTTATTATTTTTTTAAGGTCTAATTTTGGAATTGGATTTTTATTTTTCATTATCCCGATACTTTTCTTATTAGTTGTTACTTTTGTAAGAAATGTGTGATAATTGTGTCAGTTGCCGCATTTTCCAAGCTTTAATTCTGTGCAGATTAAGATGATTATTTGGCTAATTTTCTGCAATTCACTCTTTTTTTTTCTTGATTTTGCTTGATTTTTTTTCGGATTTAAGGTGTCAGATTAGTTTAGCTTCTTCTTCAGTCAGAAAACTCAGTTTTATACTCTGTTTATCTCTTTCTCATGGCTACATTATCAGTTACTTATAGTCAAGCTCTCGGTTGTACAAAGACTAGCAAATTAGCATGATAGTCTTACTTTACTGTAAAGTGGTACTCATAAGAGTTATGCAATGACTAAAGTTTGAACGAGTAATTAAAATATGCATTAATTTAGTGCTAGCGAGGCATGTGATTTATCTATATCTCACTATATATATTAGTGTGTCTTTCCTGTTCATCTTAGTTATAAGAGCCGCATTTTAGTTTTGACCATATAATCATCATGTGTAATAGTACTCTAGATAGTAGCTAAATCATATAGGATCACTGTGATGTTGCTGATTATTAGATTTATTGTGGACCCATGAGTCAATAGGTGTCATTGGTGTCACTGATGCCCCATTTGAGTACCATAAATGGCACTCATCACTTTTGTATAATGTTCACCTATGCTGAGAGCCTGAGAGTGTGCGAGTTAGTACTAGGACCAACAGTTACAGGGATAAATATTCATAATGAAAAAGTTTAAATTACTATACAGTAATATGTGAGACTAAATCCTAATCAAAACAGCAAATTACAGATTATTAAGGATGAAATTACTAATGCCTTTTTTTCTTAAGGATGAAATTACTAAAGGTTATTATTGTTAGTTTGTCGAACATTTTTTCTCATATTATTTCTGTTATATTGGCTCCTTTTCCTTTTATTATTAGATTTCCATGATAATTCAATGGCTCACTATCGATCTCTCGATGTGGCAGGACCTACATTGTTTGCTCCTGTAGTTGAGATGGCCATGACAATTGTTGAGGAGAGTGGAGGACAATACCATGTTTTACTCATTATTGCAAATGGGTAGGTATTTGCTTTCTTTTAATTTGAAGTGTGGGTTGATCAATTTCTTTGAGCTTCTGTTTTTTGCTCTATAAGATCTGTATGAATGGGCTGAAATGTTATGTTGACAAATGAACTTGCATTGCTCTTGGTATATGGTACTCAATTTATCTATTCTAAGGCCGTAATACAATATGAACATGATCAAGATAGATTTGGAAGGTTTGACATTATAGGCTTCTGTATACATTTTTTGTGTTCACTTGTTAGGCCTAACTATGTCTCTATATTTAACTTTAGTGTATATTTGATTGATTTTTAATTTTAGTTTTTTTGCTTATTGTGCAGATTAATTGAAGACAAAGATACTCGTAAATCTTCAAGCAATTAGTATAAGATAGAGAGAAACTTGATTCCATTAGTTTTATTTCCTTGGAGTTGTTGTGTAGTTTTTTTCTTTTTACTTGTATATAGTAATAGTGTAATGGAGTACTACTAAGTTTTGATTTATTTTGTTTTTTCTTGTATTTGACTTCACCTTTATCAATTAAAGATTGAATTTAGTTTTATTGATAATGAATAGAGCTTGTGGTGAACAGGTGTACTTCGTATCATTTTGTGATTTTTTAATAATAATAATAATAATAATAATAATAATAATAATAATAATAATAAATGTTACCTATTAATGAATAGTGTTACATTAGCTTGCAAAAAGTGATACATAATGTCGAATAAAGTGCTACTATATGTCAAAAGATGATTGAAAATGTTACCTAATAATCAACAAAGTGTTACATTAGATTGAAAAAAGTGATACATAATGTCGTATAAAGTGATAATATATGTTTGAAAAATGTTACTAAAGATAAGTAAGTGTTACTTAAGAAATAAAAAGTAACACTTTAAAAGCGATACTAATGATATAAAAAAGTGCTATAAGAGGTTATATAGTAGCACTTTGAAAAGTGTTACCATATGTTCTCCAAAGTGTTACATAAGACCTTAGGTAACATGGGCGGATGTATCACCCACTAAAGTGTTACCTCTTTTCTATAATAACACTTTTACCACTTTTTGTAACACTTTTTAGGTGTTACTTGAGGTTAGTTTTGTACTAGTGACATAAGGAGAAATGTTTTGGGGATGTCTATGCTAGACTTATTGAGGGAAAGGGAAAACAAGAAGAAAGAAAAAAAATGAAAACCCTAAAAATCAAAGTGCCTTGTCATTTACATGACTTAAACTCGATTCAACATGCATAAATGAGGAAAGAGTATAGTGTATGAGGGGAATGATATGTATAGGGAAAGCATGAAAGAGGAAAGTATGTGAATATGTGTCTAAGAAAGAAAGTGTAAAGTATGTAATCTATGAAAGGTGATGTAGAAGGAATAGGTGTATTTGTGGAAAGACATGGAAATTTCCGGGAATAGGAAGGACCCTAAACTCGAATGACGAAAAGGATGACTCATGCATGGACCTAATACATGGCCATGGTGTGAAGAAAGTATGTACAAAGTGTGTGAAGACGCGCGAGTGGAAGTAATATTTACAAGACTCGTGTCATGACCATGTGACTAGACATGTGGTTAGACTCAAACAAGACCAGAGAAAGACAATATACTGTCATTAAACTAGTTAATCGTGATAGTGGAACTCGACACGAAGACTCGAAAAGAAGCAGTTGAACCATCGCATAGCGATGGAACTATTGCGAGGCGTTGGCATCAATGCGGCGCGATAAAGCTGTCGCGGCGCGTTGGACACCAACGTCCTGCGTTACTGACCAAAGTGATGCGCCAAAATTGGAACGTCACTGCAATCTGTTTTAAGTGATTCTTTCGAAGGTTTAAGACTATAGTCTAGCATATTTATACTTTTTGGGTTCATATTAATTAACCAAATTAATTAAGCAAGGTCCTCTTAGCTTTGGGTTAGTATGTTTAGACATATTTATAAGAAACAAGTCAACATGAAGGGTTAGTTTAAACACAACAAGATATGCACAAGCAAGAGATGCACAAGTAGTCAAGTATTCACAATATGATGCAATGAGTTTGCCACCTAACCATGGCTCTAGCTCTCTAAGGTAAAGGATTATGGTGTCCAAGAAGGTCCATGGTTAAGAGTCCGGATGCATCGCGTGGAAGCCTTACCTTAGAAGGGTTGGCACGATGGATGACACCTCGCGAGTTAAACTCGACTCCATGGTTTAGTGAATTCAACAAGCTCGGATGCACACATTATTGCATGGAGCGTTTATTAGGGTGGACGAAGCGTAAATTCCCAAGGGCTAAAACCATATGTAAAACACATATGGGTTCAGAAAAGTCGGAAAAACTTAATAAAGAAGTAAAATCGCCGAGACAGTACTAGAATCGGGCAAAACACGAAGGCAGAAAGCTGGCGCAGAATCGCCAGATCGTATCGCTGGACGGCAGGAACCAACTTCCAGTGACAACTCTATCGCGGCGTGATAAGGCTGTCGTCTAGCGTTGGTTTTTAGCGCCGCGCGATAGTTCTAACACTCTGCGGCAGTTTCTATTTTCTACTTTTGTTCCGATTTTTCGTAGCGTCTTTTCGATTTTAGTTGTGAAAAATATTTCCGGCCTTTCCTACGTGTATGTCCTATGTTTTTTACGCATTACGGATGGTCTTTCCAATGCGAACCTTTTTATGCTTATGCCACAATGTTAATCAAAATTATGCACATGAATATCTAGAATCTTTCAAGTCTCATCCACTCATTCTAAATCAATTGCTAAACAAAATTAGGAATCAATTTAGAAATCCTCCCCAGTGGAGTCGCCAAAAAACTGTAGGGAATATTTCAACTCATCTTGAGCCCTACTGTGGTTCATGCTTTTAGGCATGGTGGCGTTCCAAGGAAAAGAAGCTAGAGATAAAAGAGTCGCCAACAAGTTTTTGGAACTTGTAAACCGTTCACGGGTGTGAAGGTTACACCCCATTCACGATCACAGAGATCGCTAACTCCATAGTGGTCCGGAACCATGACTGGATGTTCGGGGATGACAGTACAAATTCAACCTAAAAGAGATTGAACCTGCCCTAAATAGGCCTATACTTAATTCTTATGATATTCATGTGTGCTTCTCAATCAATATACATACATCAAGTTAATCCTAAACCTGTTTAATCTACGTTGGTTGATTGTCAATGCACAATGAAATCTATTATTGGTGATCACTTGAATTAAAATCATATTAGCCTAAAATCAAATTATTAACTATCTTATTAGGCGTGATTTCAAGTACAAAATCCCTTTAAACCTGCAAAAAAGGGCGTGATTAAGAAATAACAATAAATCAAGCAACATATGATAAATATAACAATCATCATCTTAATAACATCATCAAAAGATCGTTAGTAGTAAGATCCTAGGCAAGATACTAAACGGATTAATGACAAGTCCTTGCATGTCACTAATAATCAAAATCAAAGCGTTATCCTAAACATGATACTAGAAATCATAATAAACTTCCTAAACATGATACTAGGAATTAAAATATCATTGTAAACATGATACTAGGAATTAAAATAACATTGTAAACATGATAATATGAATTAAAATAACATTGTAAGCATGATTTCTACTCCAAAATCAAAGATTAATAATAAGGGTGATTGAATTACTCACTTTGATGCCTCAACCTTCTTGCTATTAAAACAATACACACATTAGTAAACTTCAAGAAAGTTAAATCAATAAAGTAAATAAATCAAATATGAATTCAAATATAGATTTGGGACCAAACTCTCAGAACTATCAACCTTTCAGGTCGAGGTTGAAGGCAACATCGAGGATGGCTTGGAGTATTCGAATCTCGTGAATGAGGTATTGTGACTAATTTGGGAAAATATTAAGGATGTGTTTAGGCTAAGGCTAAAAACATGGGTGTTTAAGAGCTTTGAAGCATATGAGGGATTGATGATGATAATTGTTGATGAGGATTGTTGGTGATTGAAACGGGGAAAATGAGCTCTATTTATAGGGAAAAAAGAGAGTCAAAACGATCGGAAAAGATCATAATTCGAATCGGAATAGAATTGCTCTTGACACGCCGCGTTGGGTGCTAACGTGCCGCATTAGTGTTGACGCACCGCGCTGGTGCTGCCGCGCCGCGTTGGAAGTGTCGCAATGCATTGGTTCTGGCGTTGTGTGCTGGTTTTAAAGGATAATCTATTTTATTCGGAGTCTGGTTTTTGATGGGTTTTCTATGCAAATTATATCCGAACGTCTTTTAATTTGAATAGAACAAGGATTATCAAAAAGTGAAGTTTTATTCAATTTCAAACTCTTTTATCTTTATCTTTTCGGAATGGATAAACTAGAACCTTCTAGAAACTTCTAAAAGAGTCCTAATTGATTTAAGATTAGGAATAAGATATTTGGTCCCTCATATGATCATTGGGTCGTATGTAAGGTGGACCTAGGCTCGGTTTGGGCTTGGTTTAGTATTTTGGCCATAACTTATTCGTTTTAAGTCGGATGTAGGTTTATAATATATCGTTGGAAAGATCTTTTCAAACTAATAATAATAATAATAATAATTGCATCCAACTAATAATAATTGCACTGGGATTATGGACGAAAATAACCTGATTTGGACGTTTAAATGAATTGGACTTGAAGTGAATGATTTTTAAGGATATGAAATGAATGAATTTGGATTTAAAAACACGAATTAAATGAATTTGGATTAAAACATTTTAGGTAAGGTTAGGATATGGTCAAGGTGTAATGAAACTTCACGAGACTTTTCAACTATTTACCGAACTCGTTAATCAAACACGTGAAAGGTACTATCACTGGGTTTGATTTTTTGGGGAGACACAATAAGGTGTCTAAAGAAGCAAAATTCTTGAACCGTATAATGGTATACGTATACCTGTTTAGATACTCACTACATTCTTCAAAACTGTTCACTTTGGTATTTTTAGAGATTCCAATGCCAATGGAATATCAAAACTAAAAAGTTTATAACTTTAAATGCTTAGAAGATACTCAATATGCTTAGATGAAGATACTCTATAGTGGTGTCCACCGTGCAAGTCGTTCGAGCTGGGTTAGGATTAGGTGGGTCGCGGGTTGGGGTTTCATGACACACGGCACGACACATGTAGGGTAGGGTGGGCCGGGTCGTGGGTTGGGTCGGAGAAGTTGGACACACCAGGGTTAGGTTCGTGGGTTAGACGGGTCGTGGGTGGGCCGAGCTGGGTTCGTGGGTTAGACGGGTCGAGGTGGATTAGTGGGTTAGGGTTGGTCAAAGGGTGGGTTAGGGTGGGTCGAAGGGTGGGTTAGTGGGTTAGGTGGGTTAGGGTCGGGTGGGTTCGTGGGTTAGGGTCGGGTGGGTTGTGTGGTGTTTTAATTTTTACAAAATTAACAATTTAATGGCTTGCTCAGTTGCTCTTAATTAAGATGTGTACGTATCCTTATATCATAAAATAAGGAATCAAATCCAACATAGTTCTTATATTGTACTTCTTTTGGAATTTGGGAGGAGGGGAGGCGTGGACCTATCTTTAGAAAACTAAAATTTAATTTTGCAATTAAATTGTAATTTTCGAAAAA